AATGGGGATCCTGGAATACTTGATCATTCTAATGTGAAACATATACTTGGACCAGGAGGCAGTCATCAGAACAGAGCAAGGAAATACTGCATGGTTCAGAATTGGGGAGGGTGTATGCTAGGGATGTGTCCTATCTCCATGCCTTTTCAACCTTTATGCGAAACAGATTATCCAGGAGGCCGGGCTGTATGAGAAGTGTGGCATCAGAATTGATGGACAATTCATCAACAATCTGTGTTATGCAGATGACACAACCCTGCTTTCTGAAACAGAGGAGGACCTGAAGTGCTTGCTGCAGAGGGTCAAAGGACTGCAGCCTTCAATATGGATTGAGACTCATTGTCAAGAAGACAAAAGATTCTCACCACTGGACCAATTGACAGCATCAGGATGGATGGTGAAGAGATTGAGATTGTTCACAGCTTTAGTTTGCTTGGCTCCACAGTCAACAGTCTTGGCACCAGCAGTCAGGAAATTAAAATACCTGTTGTGATGGGAAAGTGTGCTGTTAGGAACCTCTCCAAAGTACTGAAGAGCAGTGGTGTCATTTTGGAGACTAAGGTGTGCCTGATACAGGCCATGGTCTTTGTAATCACTTGCTGTGCATCAGAGAGCTAGACAGTGACTAGGGAGAATAGAAGGAGAATTGATGCCTTTGAGCTGTGTTGCTGGAGAAGATTATTGAATGTACCATAGACTGCTAAGAAAATGAACAGATTTATCCTGGAAAGTGGTTAAACTAGGCTGCTCTTTGGAGGCAAAGATTCTGAGGCTTTGTCTAACATAGTTTGGACATTTTGCAAGAAGGGACCTGTCCTTGGAGTAGGCGTCATGTTTGGGATGTTGGAGGGACAACACAGGAGGGGAAGACCCTCTATGAAGTGGATTGATTCAGAGACTGGGGTAATAGGGGTGAGTGTGTTGGAGACAGTGAGATTGGCACAGGACAGAGCAGGGTTTAGGGCTGTTGTACATAGGGTCACTATGAGTAACAAGCACCTCGAGGGCACATAACAACAACAACAACATCTATATCATCTGTATCTATATATCTATCAAATAGTACTTGAAAATGTCTACATCTTCTCCATTTTCTACTCTGCAAAGCAGGAAGTGTAATTCTTTCTTTGTGGTCTCTGTTGTTTTTAGTTTTCTTTCTATTTAAGTGTGCATGGTACATTCTCCAGAATTGAACACATAATGGAACACGAATCAGTTTCAAGACATTAAAAAACATTGAAAAAGTACAAACTGCCTTCTCAGATCACAATGACAAAACTAGAAATTAATGACGAGGATAAAGCTTATAAAAACACCCACTTGGATGCTAAATAACACGTTGCTAGAACATAGGTTACAGAAGAAATAAATAAAGTTTCTGGGAAAAAATGAAAATAGAACATCCTAAAACCTCTGGAATGCAGCTAAGGTAGTCCTCTGAGTGCAGTTCATAGCAATGCGAAGAGTCTAGCTCCATATCCTCTAGAAAAAGAGAATTTATAAGAACAAGAGCTGACATCAGTGAGATAGAAAACAGAAAAACAATTGCTATCATCAATTAGACTTGGAGCCAGTTCTTGGAATGATCAATGAAATTAAAAAACTATTGGCAAACAAAACCAAAGGGAAAAAAAGTGAAGCAACAAATTATTAAGAAATGACAGTGATGACATCACAGCAGAATCAAATGAAATTAAATTGATAATATCAGAGTATTAGGAAAAACTGTACTTCGATAAATTTGAAAACATAAAAAAAAGTGGACACATTTCCTAGAAAATCATGCCCTATCCATATTGATATGGACAGATCTAGAAAACTCGAACAAATCCATCACAAAAGAAGAAATTGAGCAAGTCCTAAAAAAGACTCCCCCTAAAAAAGTCCTGCCCTGCATGGTGTCACAGCTGAATATCTATCACCAATTCTACTTAAATAATTTAAAACAATATAAAAGAAGGAACCCTCCTATAGTCATTCTATATAGTAAACATAACCCACATACCAAAGCCAGGTAAAGATAATTAATCAAAAAGAAAATTACAGACCATTATCTATTGTGAATAGGGATGCAAACATCTTTTAATAAAATCCTGGTCAGTTGAATCCCATAGCACATAAAAAAACCCAAAAAACTTCATCATGACCAAGTGAGACTCGTGATAGGCATCGAGGGATGATTCAACATAAGAAAAACAATCAACATAATTCATCACTTTGACAAACCAAAGAATAAGGACCACATGGTCCTGTCACTTGGTACAGAAAATGCTTTCAACAAAAATAAGCTCCCTTTCCTATTGAAAACAGCACAATAGGAATAGAAGGGAATTTCATCAACATAGTGAAATGTATTTATGCAAAACTGAGAGCTAACATCATTCTCAATGGAGAAAGACTAAAGGCATTCCCCTTGTGAACAGAGATAAGGCCCGCTTTCACCACTGCTCTTCAATATTGTGTTGATAGTACTGGCTAAGGCAATATGATAAGAAAAGGAAATGGGGCCTACAAATTGACAAAGAGATGGTAAAACTATGTAAAAACTGTCATATCGTCACTATATGCAGATGATATGATAGTGTCTACAGAAAACCCCAAGGACTAAAGAAAAGAATTGTAGAGCCAGTGGACCAATTTAGTAGGGTGGCAGGATACAAGAACAATAAACAAAAGTCAGTGGGATTCCTCTAGAGTAACAAAACACAGATAAAGAAACTAATACCATTTACAATAGCCAGCCACAAATTGATATACTTAGCAATAAACCTAACTAGAAATGCAAAAGATCTTTACAAAGAAAACTACAAAACACTTATGCAAAATATTCCCTGTTAATGAGTAGGAGACTTAACATAGTGAAAATAACAATCCTACTAAAAGCAATCTGCATATTTTTTGCTCATTTTTCTTTTTTAAATTATTATTATTAATAATTTTAATGAAAGTTTAAAGAGCCTTTGAATTTCCATTCTTTGGATTTATTTTTGCACTTTTCTCCCTGCCCACTCCTCCCCCCCAGGTTCACTATTCTCTTTGAAAAGTAAGAGAAAAATTCTTTCATAGTTATACAGTCCCTCCCCTCAAGTCCACTCCACCACGCAGCCGTTGTTTTGGACTCCTGTCACAACAATAATACCTAACCATATATCTCTTTTAAACAGTTCTTTCCCTCATCTGTTTCAGTGCAGTGTATATCATTTTCTCAGTCTCCCCACAACCTCGTTGTCAGTCCCGTTTTACTACAGTGGCACTATGCAGTATTTGTCCTTTTGTGGCTGAGATATTTCACTCATCATAATGTCCTCCAGAGTCACCCATTTTGTATAATATTTCATGAGTTCTTTGTTTTTCGGAGCAGCATAGTATTCCATTGTGTGAATATACCACAGCTTCTCTATCCATTCTTTTGTTGATGGGCGCTTAGATTGTTTCCAACCCTTTGCTACTGTGAACAAAGCCGTGATAAACATGGGTGTGCATATATCTGCTTGGGTGGCAGTTATGGTTTCTTTGGGGTATATTCCAAGTAGTGGAATTGCTGGGTCAAATAATATTTCTATTTGCAACTTTTTAAGAAAACACCATACAGCCTTCCATAGTGGTTGCACCATTTTACACCCCACCAACAGTTAATAAGGGTTCCAGTTTCTCCACAACCTCACCAGCATTTGTTGTTTGCTGTTCTGTTAAATTTTGCTATTCTGACTGGGGTGACATGGTATCTCATTGTTGATTTGCATCTTTCTTAGACCTAGGGATTCTGAACATTTCTTCATGTGTTTGTTTGCCATCTGAATGTCTTCTTTTGTGAAGTGTGTGTCCATATCCTGTGCCCTTTTTAAAATTGGATTGTTTACCTTTATCTTGTTGTGGTGGTAATCTACATATTAAATACCATCCCAATACAGATACAAAATTAATTTTTCAAAGAAATAAAAAAAATGCAATTGGTAAGTCGCTTGGAGAGCAAAGAGACCCAGAATAAGCAAAGTATTTCTGAAAAACAAGAATGAAGTGAGAGACATAACATTGTCTGATTGCAAAACCTACGAAATGTACAACTGGTGTCATAACACAGCTGTAATAATCAAAAGAGCATGAAACTGGTACAATAACAGACACATAGAACAATAGAAAAGATTCGAGAACCAAGAAGTTACTCATTGACCTGTCGTCTGCTGGTTTTGACAAAGAAACAAGGAAATGTGGTACATGCACAGGATGACATACTATGTAGCATTCAGTAACAAAGATTTAGAAAAATACTGTGTAATGTGAGAGAGGCTGATGAGCTTTATGTGTCATAAGGACAAAGATTTATAAGGTCAATATTGTAAAAATAGAAGGGTAACTAGTGTACAAAAGTCCAAAGGGGGATGAGGAGGGGCAATGAAGGCTGCATGTGGGAAAGAGAAGAAATTATGAGCTCACAGTTTCCTGGGCAAAAGGGAGATGTGGAGGATTTAGGAAAGATCCAGTGGGGACATGAAAAGGCAGGGTTATGATGGGTGTGGTTAGTGGTGATTTTTTAAAACACAGTGTATGGGAGTGATTGCATGAAACACAATATGAATAGAGGAATATGTGAAACATAATGTATATAAATGAAACACGATGCATATGAATTTTGTTGGCAAACCAATATAAAAATAATTTAAAAACAAACAAATACAACCTCAGATTATGGTTAGTGTTTTGGGAAAGAGAGAACAAATAATTTATTTTACTGTTCCACATTCCTTGAGTAGGTAGGCATGTAATGATTCTAGGGTTTTTATAAGTCACATAAATAGTTTTGTAGGCATAGTGTTTAAAAGAATTTATATTTTTATGGGCTACATAACCATTTTCCATCTTTTGTAAATATACAGAAATATGAATTTTATATATATATTATCTCTGAATGTTCTATTAATGAAAGTCAAAACCAAAAAATTCATGAGCCATTATGACTATTTCTCTCTGATTAATTCTGCTTTTCTGTTTTTGGTCTATAGAGATGTGGTGAGTCCGAGGTCTTAGATGAAAAAGAGTCCATTTCTTCAGGCTCTCTTGCTGGATCTAGTTTGCCTGTTTTTCAAAATGTTCTGCTAAGGTTTTTAGACACACAGGCCCCTTCCTTGTGTAAGTAAAGTTCTTTGCTTCCTAGTCTTTCTTAGCTGAAGAGTTGACAGTTTTTAGAAATTGCTTACTTTTTTGGTTGTTTTTTTTTTTGTTAATCTTATATGAACTTCTTGACATTAAATACAGAGCATGTTTCATGAACATACTTAAGTTGCCTCTTAAACAGACAATAGGAAAAGATGTGCTTATGGAAGTGGGGCAGGAGATATTTATAGCAAAGAAAGGTTTAAATAAACAGAAACAGTACTGTTAATATTCTGAATATAATTTCTGTTACAGTAGGACACTTGAAACCTATTTGATATCCTAGTGACTTGTGATAAATCCTTCTGTGAATTTGATGTAGTGTAACACCACCACCAAAACCAACATCTTACTATGAAAAGTACTGATAACGTGGACCCATAGTAGTTTTTTCCCACCTCACCACATCAGTGCAACTGAATTCTTTATTGGATGTGTTTCTTGGTAGCGGATCCGAACAGTGAATGTGAAAAGGTGGAGTTTGTGAACCTGGTGCTGCTGTTTTGTGAGTTCATCCGCCATGATGTCTTTTCCCACGACGCATACATGTGCACCCTCATATCTCGAGGGGATTTGTCCGTGACCGCCTCTACACGGCCACGGTCACCAGCAGGAGAAAATGTAGATGAACATTACTCAAAAGACCATGATGTGAAAATGGAGGTATGGCCCTGCAGGTGTGCTCAACCCCCTAAGAAACTAAATTCCGATGTGAATAATATGAGGGTGGAAGGTTACTAGCTTTAAAGATGTTTTCTCTTGTTATAAACTTCGTTTATTCCTACTTCAAATTTGTTATAGAACTATCAGTGAAAAGATTGCTTAGCTAAAGCATTTTTTCTTTAGTTGTGTACATAAATTTATGTACAATAATTTGGATGTTTCTCGTCTCTGTTTTCCATTGAGTGTTGAGCTTGAAAATCCTAGTTGAGTTGTCCTTATTCCAAGAAGCATCTGACTTCCAAGTATTATACCACTCTTTAAAATTAAACCATGTTAGCTCAACATATCATATTTTTTGTAGTTACTTCAGTTTTAATTGATATTTCTTAACTATTATAGAATTGTTCTTTTCAGCATATCTCTCATGGTATGAGAATGGCTTTATAATCTTCTGCCAGTTTCTGCTATTTGGAACATTGTTCCAGATCCTTTCTGAAATTGTCAAGACTAAAGTGGTGAACATGGTGATGGAAAGTGATAGAAAATAATAAGAGACTGTGATAATTTCTGAATAGATTAAAGACCATGTTAGTTCAAGGGTCTAGTAAAGATATACTTCTATGGGATTTCCAAAGTAGTGTCTATACTTACAGAAAAAACCTGACATTAAAATTGCAATCATTCATTCATAATTTATACTCTTAAGATTTATAAGTGGTGCTGAATTATGGTTTTTTAAAGTATATTAAAAACATACATACTTCTGTGTCTTAATTTTCTACAATAGACATTATATGGACAGAAATTGAAGTTGCTATACCTGTTTACATATTTTTCTGTTTCTGTTTTTCTCTTCTTGGATATCTAGGTATAGCCAATCTTTTAGATATAATCCTAGATTTTTCTGTCTTAAAGAAAAGTAAATTGGTGAGTATATGTCTGGAAATAGTCCAAGAAAAGAATTTATGGAGAGGTTAGTTTTAATCAAGGAGCTTCTGTACTTATCCCTTACATCCTAGCTTTGTCCTCACAAGGGAAAATAAATATGACTTTACACAGCTGTGCATGTCTGAAAACTTCTTTTTATTTCCAGTAGGAAAAAAAAGTAATCAGGATGGTTAAAAACCTTGCCATGTTTTAGCTTTAGTTGGTCAACGAAGCTCTTGATGCACAATGTGGCTTTCTTTTTCTACCAATTATCAGGAACAAAGTATTATGGCGCATATGGGCATTGACTCAGGAACCACTAGCATTTTTGATGAAGTAGACAAGAGTGACTTTAAAACTGACTTTGGTTCGGACTTTGCAGTAGGTTCAACCTTTGAGTTCTTACTAGCTGTTAACCCCACAGTTTACCTCCATCCTTCTGTTCCTTGCTCCATGTACTAGAATACCTCATGCACTTGTGATATCAGTGTGACCCGATCCCATTTTGCCCTACGGCATAATTAGCATCCTGTGCGAGTGTCTCTCTTCAATTCATCTTCATTTTTGGCTGTATTGTCTCTCTGTAAAAGATAACATGCCTGTTCTCCAAGTCTACTGTGTTTGGCTGCTTTGTTTGTTTTAAGATGATTATCTCTCAGGTTTATATAAATGTACTTTTGTATGAACAGCCCATGTTGATTTGTTGTTTATGTCTTCAAGCTTCTAAATAGTAATAATACCTTTCCTGGTTCTGGACTTGTTATCCACAGTTCTGCCACGAGGGTCCCTGGATGGTGCATGTGGTCAACCTGCTCACTGACAGGTGGATGTTCAAGTCCACATAGAGGTGCCTCAGAGGAAAAAATTTTTACCTTTGGCCCTCAGGGTAGTACAGTTTTGGACATTAGCTATATGTGTTGTCATTTCATCATCTACAAAATGGGGATGATGCTGACAGATTAATACTGATATGAATACAAAAACCTGTGGAAATTAATAAAAGAGCTGTCTCTCTGCTCTTTCGATTCATTGATTATGCAAGGAAAAGGTATTATTGCATGAGTATCTTAAGCATTGGAAGGTATAGTATATAGAACTTTGATTCAATTTTGTTCATTTTTATTTACAATCTTCAACATTTGTTTCACATGACTTAGATTTTTTCTCCCATTCCTGGGGAGTCCTGTGAGAATGTCACCCCTTCTTTTGGAAGAAGAATGCCAGTGAATGGTGAGAAGTTGATGAAGAGGGAAAAGTCAAGGGAACTGATTTTTCCATCTAACTATGACCTCCTCCGTCACTTGCAGTATGCAACCCACTTTCCTATACCTCTGGTAAGTCATTGTGCTTCCAGTAGTCAACACCCTGATTATTTCACTGTACCATTTTTATGGCTAACTATAATGCTACCCAACAGCTAGTCTGGCTGAATACATCTGTTAACAGGTGAGTTTTTGCATTTGTTCTGTTTTTGCTGTAATTCTGATCATTTTGTTTATGAACCTATATACCTAAATGGAACTAGGAAAGTTACTTTATGGTGTGATATTGATGGATTTGCCAGATGAAATAGAATTTTCTATTTTAACACTCTTATCAAGGCACTGGAGATCAGAAAATTGATATTTCAATGTCAGTTTTCTGACTCCTGTTTAAAAGTCATGTAATGAGTTGGCTTTTATATACACTCTTTTGTAGAAGGCACTTTTCTTGTTACCCAGATGAGCAAGAAATTTCAGGGAACAGGAAAGTTGACTAAGATATTACATGACAAACTATCAAATATGGATAGCAATTGAAAAAACCCCTAATGTTTCTGGGAGTTGAACCATTAGAGATGCATGTGTCCCTTCTCCTTAAGGAACTGCTTGACACAAAGTAGGCACTCTGAGAGCAAATGAAGGTCAACAGCATTTGGTTTGAAACATAGGATAAAGCTTTGTGGAAGTGGTTGTTTATGGGATTTTATTTGGATTTGTATTTTATTTGTGACCTGCCATATAAAAAGTTCTAGGCAGGAAATTTGTTCTTGACTCATAACAGAGTGATGCACTTTCTTCTAAAGAGGTAAGAGTAGGTGCTTTTTGATTTGTTAAACTCAACTGAATTACCTTTCCCATTTTTATTTTGTTTCTTTATTTCATACTGGTTTGCATACACAGTTTGTAAACATTGTGTTTCACACACTCCTTCATTCACATTATGTTTTATACAGTCATTCCCTTATGCTGCTTTATAAAATCAGTCATCTATTTGTAATGAAAATTTTGCCAGAATTCCAAACTATATTTATTTTTGGGTTCATTGACTTTTTTCTTGGAATTTAATTTTAAGTGTAATTTCAGTGAATCATTATAAAAATGGAGTTCTGCTTTTATGTATCAAAAATATAATTGTGTGAGGTATATGATCTTACTTCCTGGAGGGTTTTGGTTTATAAATGTTTTCTTAATTTTTGTGGTAGGAGCAGATTTCAGAAAACTCTTCATATGGTTTCAACAATTACTTAAGCCGTATTTTTTCCATAGTCCAATTGTGAACTCCTGTTTAGATGTTTTTCTTTATAAGGCTGTTTCAAAACCTGGCAGAATTCTTTTTTTTTTTTTATCACTGACTGAATATATCACAGTTTTTAAGTGCTTGTTATAATCTAAGTAGGGCAGTCCTAAATAATTGCTAGTTGGTTGAATTTGCAATATGCAATTTTAAAAACGGCTTTCCCTTAGTGTAATGTTTAATCTGCTTTGTGTAGGTATAATTCAGAGTAGATCATTAGTAAGGAGGAGTAAATGCATGTACTAGTATCACATTAATGAGCACTGATGGCCCAGTGATACGAAGTTGAGTTTGTCAACCCTAATTGAATATACAAGCTCTTACACATAGAAACGTGGACAGTCTCCTTCCGTGTGATTTAAAGCCTCTTAAAATCCACTCGAGGATCAGCTGTGAGTTGGTTCCCACCCAGTGGTACACAAAAACAACAACATCATCATATTAGGGAGTTCTGATGGCTTAGTGGTAAAGTGTTATACTACCTACTCAAAGGACACCCAGCCACCATCTGCTCTATGGAAGAAAAATAGGCAGCCTTCATTCATGCGATTTACTGCCTGTGAAAACTTGTGGAGGAAAGATGGGCTCTCATGTGATTTACTGCCTCTGAAAACCCACCAGAGGGTCAGCCCTGAATTAGTTCAGATTCAGCATCCCATAGCAACACCATCATCATCATGTTGGCATTAGGAGGGCTAGAGCAACTCTCTACTGAAAGAGGATATTTGACAAACTTATCATGCATATGACGAGAATTGAGCTCATTGATGTTCTGTCTGAATCAACTCATGGCAGACCCTCCTGTGAGTCCTAGTGGCTGTATATTCACAGGAGGAGATGCCCAGCTTTCCCTCAAGTAGTGAGTGGCTGGTGCATTTGAACTGTCAGAAAGGTGCCAGCTTTGGGTTTGCATTGCAACTCCCTGTGAACAGTTCTTTCTCTGCTCATCAATAAAGCATGTTGTTTCGACTGTCAATAAGCAGGGGTTCTAGGACATAGGACTTCTGTCAACCTATAGCTTAGGCAGGAACCTGAGTCAGACAAGGCCACCCCTTGTGCCTGGCTGAGCTGGAGCATCATGTTTGGAAAAGTGGACAATCAATGAAAGACAGGGAGATCCTCAGCAAAATGGATAGACATAGTAACAGTAACAATGAGTTCAAGTGTATCCAAGATGATAAGGATATGACAGACTAGGGCAAGATTCAGATCCATTGTTCAGAGGGTCACTTTGAGTTGCAGTTGACTGGACGATGCCAAATAACAAAAACATAACTTAGGTAAGTACTAAATAATTGAGAGTCTTTTGTAGAATGTGTAGGGTCAGCTGTGGGTTGGTTCCAACTCGATGGTACACAACAACATCAACAGCTGTTGGAGCATTCCTGACATCACAGTTGCTGTGTTGAGCACTGTAGAGTTAGAACTGAACCGTAGTTGACTCCCCAGTGGGTTTTCAGAGGCAGTTAATCACACGGGAGGAGATTGTCCATCCTTCTCCCACACCCTCTCATTACTACTGTCTAAAATTTAACCATTGTTTAATCAATCCTTTTCCTTGTCATCATTTAATCTATTTGGTCCCAGAATATATTTATGAAACAGAAAGCAGGAATGCTTCTTAACATTGAAGCTAAAAAAGTTATTCAGTGTAAAACTGGAAAAAAATGAGTTTAGAATTAAATATGTTTTCTTAGCTCTTGAATACCATTTCTTAACTGTAACAGCTTATGCTTTTTTTTAAATATAGGCTTTCACTAATGAAAACCAGAGGTCTCATATGCGTTTACTTTAACCTTTTTATTTGTCTTTTTATATTAAATGTTTTTGTTATTAATACCATCTGGTGACTCTTCAGGGATGTGGCTTCTGTACCTGACCATTATACTTTTCCTATCAGTGGAGACTTTATGTATTGGTATAATTCTGAACAAGATTCACTGGAATTTCCAGACTGAGACTAGGAATAAAGGTGGCAATCTACTTTTGAAACTAAGCCATAGAATCCCAGTGATCTAATCTTATTGTTCGTGGGATCACTTTGTTGGGATAACTCATTTAACAACAGCAGCAACAGTAGATCCTTGCCGTGTAAGTTGTTAGGGAGAGAATGGAATTTCCCAAAATGCTATCAAAGCTACCAGCTCTTCTTTAGATATACCCTAGCAACCAGGATCATCTTTTCTGGGTCTGAACGGCCCCAGCTGACCCAGCATGCCTGTTTCTAACATGACCTGATTATATAAAATCAGTTTGTCTGTTTTAAGGCCCCTGACTATTGCTGTTTATTCATACCTTTGATGTGAATTTCAGTAATAATTTCAGCAGTTTGCATAATTTAAACACTAGTCTTGAAAATGTTTTAGACTGACTTACTGTTAGGTAAGCAGTGATTAAAGCTGTATTACTGATATCAGAAAAGGAACAACTAACAACAACCAGTAGAAAACCTTCATTTTTAGCCTTCAGAGAACACGAGTGTGCATAGTACATTAAAAGTCATCTATAGCCTTATGAATCAGGGTGAAATCTCTCTCAGGGAGGAGTGATAGGGAATGGCAAAGGACACACTGACAAAGGAGATTAATCAGAACTGGTTTTGACAAGCACTGTGGCAATGGGACAATTAAAACAGACTTTTAAGGAGAGAAGAAAAAAGAGAGGAACGAACTGGGGCGGGGGTTAGAGAAAATAGTGCAACAATGAATGAATAGAAATCCAAAATCCCTGTAAATGTTCAATAAAATTAATAAAATAAAACTTAAAAAAACAAAACAACCCCCCCCCAAAAAAACCCCCAAATAAAAGTCATCTCTAACCACCACATAAGCAGATATATGCATACCCATGTTTATTGCAGCTTTGTTCACAATAGCCTGTCAATAAATGAATGGCTAGAGAAGCTTTGGTATATTCACACAATGGAATACTATGCTGCATTGAAAAACAAGCAACTTATGAAATACTGTTGTAGTGGGTAACCCTGGAGGACATTATGCTGAGTGAAATATCTCAGTCACAAAAGGACAAATATTGCATAGGGCCATTGTTGTAAAATGGGTCTGACACTGGGTTTGGGGGGGAGACTGAAACAGATGAGGGAGAGAACTGTTTAAAAGGGATACATGATTTGATATTACTGTAATGACAGGAGTCCAGAACGGCTGCACAGTGGAGTGGACTTGGGGGGAGGGATTGTGTAACAATGAAAGAATTTTTCTTTTCATTTTCAAAGAGAAGAGTGAATTGGGGGCGGAGGGGTGGGCAGGGAGAAAGTGCACCAATGAATGAATGGAAATCCAAACTCTCTGTAAATTTTCATTAAAATTAATAAAAAAATATATTAAAAACAAAGCAAAAAACAGAGGGCCAGCAGTTTGAATCAACTGAAGTGCCACACACAAAAAAAGTCATCATGTATTTCCAGGTCTTATAGATAAATATTTATAATTACTGTGTTGGAAAAAGGATCACATTTTAAAGATTAGGCCATTGAGCCAAATCAGTACAGTCTTTGAAGAGAGGAATTAAAATTAAGTACACGTTTTTGAACAGGTTTTCACAAGTCATATTTTTCACAATTGCTTATTTTCCCCAAAAAGTCAATGTCAGTCATTTAAATAGATATCTTATGAAACCTCTGAGTTTGTGTAACATATTTAGTTTTCATTTAAGAGTATTGTGGTGGTGTGTTTTTTTTTGTTTTGTTTTTAATTGGTTCTGCAAAGCACTTTAATCTTTTGTACAAGTATTAGGAATATCAGCAACCACAAAAGGACAGGCTGGTTTTTTGTTTAGAATCAGTTTCTAAATAAGCCAGGTTGCATTTGCTAGTGGTCTCTATTTCTGCTTACTAGGCATTCTGTTTCCTCCTCTCTGCCAGTAGTTTCAAGCTTGTTGTTAAGTTATGGTAAAACAAATAATTCCATTGCTTGTATGTCATTTTCACTTCTTGATCTTTTGTTTTGAATTTTGGTCTCCTTCAGTGAGGTAAAAGTCTCAGTGATCTTTAAGCGGAATGCTTTTGAGAGGTGATAGTAGAGAATGGGATCAAAACATAAGTTTGACAGAGCTAGGAGAAGCGTGACTTCCTTAGCTTTGAAGAGAAAGTTCCTAGTTGAACAATCAGATATAATTTCTGTCTGGCTGAGAGTGTATGGGATTCGGACTGTGTGATAAGGAACAAAACACACGATGTAGCCTGTGGTCACCAAGAGTATATTGATGAGAGCTCTTTTCACATTTGGATAATTTTCATTGTCTTTGTTTCTATGGAGTAACTGAATGACAAGAAAGTTGGATATTAAGATAATGACTGAGAAATTGAAAAATATTGCTACACATAGGAAATTTGTCAGCAAATGCCAGTCTTTCCCAAACTCTGTTTTGAAGTCCATACAGCCCACATTTGAGTTTTCCTTCACCTGTTTAATGGGAATTACCATGTTTGGCACCATTATAAGGAGGACCATGAACCACATCACAGTTGATATCATTTTGGCAAAACCAGGTTCTTGTATTCTATAAATCTTGCAGCTGTGTATCAACTGAAGATAACGATCAACGCTGACAAATGCTAAGAATATAATTGATAAGTACATATTAATGTAGATGAGGCAGGCTGTCACTTGGCAATGGAAAATCCTCATCTTCCAGGGTGCCACCCCTAAGTCGACAATGATTTTCACTGGGATTGCCAGGGTGAGCAGGAAGTCAGCTGTGAGCAGATTAAGTAGGTATATGTTCACACCCTTGGGATTGGTGGTTTTCTGCATGAATGCCCAGGCTGCAAAACAGCTTCCAATCAATCCAACGAGGAAGACCAAATAAAAAAAATAGGTGAATGGTTCCTGATTCTTGTAAACTGTGCAAGAGATGGAACTGTTCTCCATTTTGAGAGAAATGAAGGATGACTTTGCCAATTAAAGAAAAATAAAATCCAAAGACTACTTATTGGAAAATGAGATTGGTAAATGTTGAGGTTAGTAATTAAAATTATAAATTATTTAAAAGACAGTTGCATTCATAATATCCTGGTGTATATTTTTTGTGGATTATTTTAAGAATTCTAATGGTGAATTTTATAGGTGAATTTTCTAGAATTTGAGGAGGCTGGGCTTTTTCCTTGTCTGATTTTGTGACTTAATAAATCTCATGTGGGTTTACTTCTAGAAAAAGGATGTTTTTGACAATATGCACTTGGATTATGATTTGTTTGTTACCACTTGGGTTTTGGAAGATAAACAGAACTGAAATTCTGAGAAGTGAAGAACGTTTGAGAACAAGCTGAGTTACGATGATTTGGTTGTAGCGGAGCCTCTCTGATGAGCTTTCAAGGAGGGCTTCTGGCTTGGTTTTCCATAGATTCACAGCTCCTTATGTGAGAAGGATCTAAACTGAGACTGGAGCAAAAGGTGACAGGAAATTCTATTACTATTTTTTTTAAAGAAAAATGAAAAAGTAGATCCTTTATGATGCACTATATTAGAATATTTTAGCAACCAATATTCCTTTTTTAAATTTTTTTACACAAAAGAGAATTAAAAGATTAGAACCTAGCCTTAAATGGTGCTCTTTATCTCCCTCCATTGTCATGGAGCTCTGCTGGGTAAGGAATTGAGCTGCCAACTCAAAGGTACGCAATTAGTATCCACCAGCTGCTCTGTACAAGAAAGGTGAGCAGTCTCCTCCTATGTGACTGTCTCAGGAAACCTGCTGGAGGGTTACCTATGGGGCATTTCCGACTCGATGGTACAACCACCACCATTGTTGTAGTGGTATAGCCCTCGTGTCCAGTGAGGTGCTCGGTAGCTGTGTTTGATTTTGAGTCCTTGAAATGTGTCTAGTCCAAAATGACATGTGGTAGAAATGGACAGTACAGGCTCAATTTTGAGAATGTAGGACAAAATATAATTTTAAAAAATCATATGATAGATATAGGATAAAACAATGTAAAATATGTGATATAGAACATACTGACATTAAATATACAATTAGCATGTATTTTACTTGTTCCTTTTTGAACATTTCTATTGGACCACCTTGGTGAGCTCCGTGGCTTGCACTCTATTCCTGGTGGACAGGGCAGACGTAGATTTTGCTATGTTAATTTTTTTTTATTTATTTTCTCTCTGTGTGTGTGTGTGTGTGTGTGTGTACCGTCAAATTGGATCTGACTGGTACTGGAGGAGATGGCCCCTCCTTCTCCGGCAGAGCATCTGGTGGATTTGAACCACATATCTCTGGGATTGCAGTGCAGCTTCTTGCCACTAGACCACCAGAGCTCCCCCCCATGTTAATATTTTTGAGGAGCTTAACTAAAGGCATCTTTATCTCTGTTTACTGGTTACAAAATCGTCACATGTAAGCTCAGTCATCTTAATATAAAAAAGTCTTACTTCTTTTTCCCCCTCATTGTGGGTTTTGGGGAATTTAAAACCAGAAGGAAATACTCAGGCTCACTGAAATTGTCATTGATAAAGACAATAACATTTTCCCGCATGTCCTCTAATTGCTGAATCATGAAGAGTCTCATTAACTCAATGTATATTAACTGAGTCTCTTTGGTTCAGTTAAATTGACACTTGCAGGGCCTCTTGTTCATCTTTCTGGTGTTGTTTCTTGGTTATGCATCTTTCTCCTCCATATTAAATGACACTCATTTGTCCTGAAGACTAGAGGGCTATTTTAGCAAAAAGGAAAAAAATGTTTTTTAAAAAATACCTATAAAAATAGTAACTGAATATAGTGACTTACTTGAAAGGCCAAGTAAGCCTATTTTCAGAACGTTCCTTTCATCTTTTTTTTTAACTTTGGAACCTTTCTAAATTCTAATTCTGTAATTGTTTAATGATTCATAACATACATCTTGGGATGAAACAATAGAGACAAATACCTGGAGAAGCCAGTTGCACATAAACATTCCAAAATGAAGTGTCATTTCAAGGCTACATAGTTTTCCACCTTCATGTCCAACTACCCCTACACTTGCATTATGACTTCAGAGGCTGTGAATAGTTCCGTTCTGTACCAAAATGAGTGAAAATAATTGAGCACTTACTTGGGTCTGTGCTTTTACAGATTTTTACAGGTACTTCATTACTAAAAGGGAGATGTCAGTTTTATCCCTATTGAGTCACAACAAATTTAAGAATTGCCTGAGGTTTTGTAGCTGGTAAATTATAGAGCCAGAATTCCCCTTTAGACAGTGTAATCTAAGAAGCTACATTTCAAACTATTTCAAAGTACTGTTTCAATAATGATGATAATCATCATTATACAGCCAACTATTCCTAAATGCTACTTTTGTGACAGTTTTCATATAAGAGTTGAATTTTAAAGACAAGTTCTTAATTTTTTTCTAAACACTGATAAAAAGGTTAATGTATATCGGTATTACAATTTATAATTTTATATAATTTTTGTGTATCTATATACATGTATAAGCCAACCTAGTAGTAGTAGTAGTTGCTACATCCTATCATAGAAGTAAACCGACTTTGTTATACTCATTGCTCTCCCTACTGTCCATATTGCTTTTTATTTTTTTTAGTATTGAGTTTATTTGAAGGTTAACATAGCAGTTTAGGTCTCATTCAACAATGTCTATATAACTTGCTCAGTCTCGTTGGTTTCTATTCTCCCATTATCACTTAATTCCACCTCTACTTTAGAGTTAGGTTGCTTTACTGTTCTGTGACTAGTTTTTTCTTGTCTTAATTTTTTTAAAAATTATTTTTGCTTGTGTAAAATTTTAGGATCAGAGGACTTTAAAGATGAATGGAACTTTTACTGATCACATCTCCTTTAATCTCCAGTTAATTCACAAGCCTGCAGATGGTACTGATGTGTTGCTTGAGATTCCAGAACTGATTGAGCAGGTCTAATTTTTCAAGCATGAGGCACTCTGCCTGTGCCTGCAAACCTATTCATATTACAGAACTGGAGACCCTTTATGTCTGAAGTCTATATCAGACTTCACTGCCCTACTTAGGATTCTAATTTTTTATAGTAACCCTTCATATATACTTGGGAATTTTGAATGCATTTTTGCCGTGTTGAGGACTAGTTTTGTTGTATTTGATTTTGCTGTAAACAGTATTTTGGCTTATACTCTTTTAATTTCAACCTTCATAATAGTAACATAATGCTGTCTTCCTGGTTTTGCCTCTTTTATGTCATCAACGAACATATTGGGATTAGAGAACTAAAGAATTCTTTTTTAATCAACTCATAGTCTCCAACTAGAAACTGTTGTGCATACTACACATGAGTAACTTATTTAAAAATAATTACAAGTCGTCAGTGGTGTGTGGTTTTCCGAGGTGTCAGGAGAGTAGCCACGGCCTCTGGGCTGGCATGAGCCGCAGACCACGTGGACACAGAGCAGCCAAGCCGGAGTCATGGCCAATACAATGGTAGCAGTTGGACTGACCATTGCTGCTGCAGGATTTGTAGGCCATTATGTTTTGCAAGTGATGAAGCATGTGGAGCCTCAAGTAAAACAAGTTTTGCAAAGTCTACCAAAGTCTACCTTCAGTGGTAGCTATTACTGAGGTGAATTTGAACCCAAAATGACAAAACAAGAAGCAGCATTAATACTAGGTGTAAGCCCTACTGCTAATAAAGGAAAAATAAGATGCTCATCAACGAATTATGTTCTTAAATCACCCAGACATGGGAGGATATTCTTACATGCCTGCCAAAATCAATGAAGCTAAAGATTTACTTGAAAGTCAAGCTAAAAAATAAAGTGAATGTTGCTTAACTTTGAAATACATATGGATTTGTGTCTGAGAGCATTTTTTAATAATAAAATGTCTTGAAGCTTTGATTTTTTATAAAAAAGAAAAAATAATTACAGTGTAACCATATTTATTACGGAATATTCCAGGGTCATGCAGCGTGTCACAGTAATTTCAAGAACATCATTTTAGATTGTTATGAAAAACAGATTTGCTTATATAAGGTTTCTGGCTGAATCAAGAAGTTAAAATTTTTTTATTTATGGTTACATTCTGTATTGTATATCACCAATTTGAGAATTAAGTGTTAGGTAAATATTTTATTAGCCAGTTTGCACTGCCAGCTGAAAGGCAGGCAGTTGGAATCCACGAGCTGCTGGACAGGAAACAGATGGACAGTCTCCTCCCGTGTGATCTACAGCTTCTGAAGGCCTCCTGCAGGGTCAGCTCTGAGATAATTTTGATCCCACAAGTTAAGTTATTCATTAGTGAAAATTTGAGGCAACCAGAGGTACCTCAGCAGAACATATTTCTAATATATCTTTCTGTTTGGATACAATACTCATTGTTTGCTTGAGCTAACTTGTTTTCTTTTTTGCTAGTCATGGTGGAATTTTCTTGAAATGAGTTACTCATTGTAATGTTTATTGAGAAAGTAATTTTTTAGATCTGTTTGGTCCTGTTATGAAGACCTAAACATGGCCTTTATTCAATCTAGTTACAAAATTAAGTTACCAAATAGAGTTATGCTCAATAATCAGCCTTGTGTGAATTAAGCTTTTTTGGATTAGCAGCACAGCTTCTTACCACTAGACCCCCAGAGCTGTCCTTTAAGCTGTCTTTTTGAAAGGAATGGATAGGGTAATGAGGTAGAAGATTAGAGTTCACAGCCAGCATAGTTTAATAATTAAATTAGTGCCCCATATAGTGTCCTTGTTACATGCTGACATTTTGTACTTCTATGACCTAAACACTGAAAAATGATAGAATTAATATCCATACGAGGAAACTTGAATATAAGAAGTGTTTGAAGTGACATACCTGGTTATGTTGTTCTCCGAGCCTCAGCAGGCTGAGCTCTGAATCTTCAGACAAGTGTGAGCTGCTGGGTTGGCCACAGCAGTAGCACCCCTGTTGTAGGGATGTGG